TATACTTCGCTTGTGATAGTATGATGTAAATCTGAGGCAGAACTATAATAGATAGTGAGAGTTAGCATCTTATTCCACTTCCCCAAACCAGCAGAGTTTAATTATATACGAAGAATGCATTGTAACTGATCTGAAATACTCCCCACAATACATATAATTCCCTATATTTAATGGAATGGCAGCAGATTGATGAATAAGATGACTAATCTGTAGCCAAAATAGGAAGATAAATGAGAAATCAAGGGAAGAGTTCTCAGCTGTGTCGAGTTCATGCTCGGTGCACTCGAGGAGACGGCGTGGGAAGGGTGGCTCCAAGCCACCTTTTGACTCTCCCAGTCCTGGGGCTGTTAGAGCTTAAACGACTCCCAAAGTGACTTATAGCAGTCTAAGAGTGCTCTAATTTGCAGCAACTGAAGTAGCCTCCTAAAACCACTCTGTCAGCCAAGGACTGGCTAGAGTACTGTGCTCCTTGGCCGTGCACCTGACTTGCCCTCACTCCAGTAAACCCTATACTGGGTGCAGGTGGGTGCTTGAAATCATCAGTTGCCTCTATAGGGCAGCTTTCCTGATACCTTGTACTGTCGTATGTTGAAGGTCTGGCCACAGAACTAGTAAAGTTATGAAAAGCTTCTTAAATAATGGGAAAACTTTGCTTTTAATCTCCTTGTAAACATGTACGTTTGGAAAAGATAGAAAACAGATATGCATGCAGAGTGGAATATATTGGGTTTTAGTTTGTATGTCCATGAAGATTCCAGCATAGCCCAGGACAGTCTCTTTGTGTATGCATCCAGATGTTAAGATCATATAAAGTCTGATTTAGAAGAATGTTATTCTTACAGTGATATCTTCCAGCGACTGTGTCACAATGACAGGTTTCAGAGTAACAGCCATGTTAGTCTGTATTCGCAAAAAGAAAAGGAGTACTTGTGGCACCTTAGAGACTAACCAATTTATTTGAGCATAAGCTTTCTGAGCTACAGCTCACTTCATCGGATGCATCCGATGAAGTGAGCTGTAGCTCTCAAAAGCTTATGCGCAAATAAATTGGTTAGTCGCTAAGGTGCCACAAGTACTCCTTTTTCTTTTTGTGTCACAATGAGCAGTGATGAATACATAAATGCAGGCCTTTACCTTTGGAGAAGAATCTGCTTCCTCTAATTTTTAAAGTAAACCAATGAACTTTGAGAATAGTTGGAACTCGTGAGGAAGGACACACACATCTGGAATTAGCCAAGTGGCTGCAACTCTATTAATCCCATAACAGGATAATTTATTGGGGGAAGGCAACAGGCACTGTATTTGTCACATGGCTTCTCCCCCTCTTTTCAAAGCTCAAATCCAAAGCATCACAGTTCCAGGGATCAAATTGCTTGTATAAAACCAAGGCCCTTTAGAGCCTGCATTACTCCCAAGGCCTATAACGGCCTATTGCCCAGAACAGCCTAATGCTCGAAAAGCCAGTAAGCCTTTTAGGATGGCTCAGGCTTCACTGCAAATCTAGTCCCTTATCCTAAGAAAGGTGTGTTGATGGGAAGAGGGCTTCATCTGAAACCTCCTGCCAGAGCCTTTCACTGCTGCCTCCCCACTGCCAGAGCTCTTCCTTGCTGCCTTCCGTTTGTGAGATCCTTTCCTACTGCCTCAGATTTTCCCTGATGTGGGGAACAACTTCTGCCATTTCGAGGCACTGGTAAGCTACTGTGCTAAAAATAGCAGTGTAGACACAGGAGGCATTGCTTGGGCCCATAGAGAGCTGTGTAGAGTATATTCCCTAAGGTTCTGGCTGTCTTTATTCACCTTAGTATTGCCTCGCTAACTACATTGCTGTTTATACTCATGCTATGGGGCATACAGTGTATGTATTCTACATGCTGCTTTAAGTTTAGACATAAGCTCAGGTGCCAGTGATAATACTTCAAATGAACATTAATTGTTAGCTGTTTTACCGTTCATCAATGCATGCAAGGAGTGAGAGGAAGTATCATATTGTGTACATCTACTTAATCTCCCCTGAGTGACTGCTCATTTTGGCTAGGTGTTAGAATGTGTGGAGGGTTGAAGGGGAGCATATTTTGTTTCATTTTCCTGAAGGGGAACTGCGATTTCAGAAGTTTGGGAAATACTGCAGTAAGGCAATTATAAATGCCACTTTATTAGACATAATATCTAATATCCTGAGACCAACGCAACAACAACGACACTGCACACGTTATGATGTGCCTTTCCCAGTGTTAATTCAAAATTAAACTATGCCAGGGATCTCTCTTTCATATTCTGTCATTCACCTTTAAGGTGCATGAAAATGTTCAGTGTCTCATTACATCTTTGAAGCACTTTTACATGGATGACTATTAAAGTACCTTCTAAGGGTTACAAAGCTATTGTGATAATCCGCGTATGAAACTGCTGTAATGCTGTTATAAATATGCATATTAGAAATCAGGTTGTGAAAAAGGTGTTGTGCTGGTGCTCCTGTGCTGAACCTGTTTTCCTGGTGTTAAGAAGGCTAGCTGGACCTTTTGTTTTTCTAAAGGTTAAAACATACTAATTTGCACCGTAAACTCTGGGTGAAATTCTGGAGCCATTGTAGTCTATTGGAGTTTTGCCACTGATTTCATTGGGGCCAGGATTTTACCTGTATAACCTTCAAAACAGATATTCTGTATGTACTGTTTATTATTATATATTGTATATAAAATACATATTATAATATAATCATGTAACTAAAAATAGTTATTTTGTTTTTCTAGAAATGTTGTGGAAAATGTTATTGCCAGGCTACAGTTCACGTTCAAACTTCAGCCTGGAGCAAATTTTCTTGGCCAAGTTGTAAGCCTTAGAAAGTATATTTTATAATGGAAACTCTGAGAGAACTATAATTATATTCATTCTAATGTGAGCTGCTACTGCCGAGCCATTTGCCGGATTGCAACATAATTTAAAAACTGATGTACTGAAGAATAACTCTCCCCTCCCTCCGAACTTGTTAAAAAGCAAGTAAACTAGTATACAAAGACTTTTTGCCCTTTTAAATTTGATTAAATTTAACAGCTGTTAAACTCTGTATCCCCAAAATTTGTCTTGAATAGTGTTTTAATTTTCTGTTAAACTAACCAAAGCAAAATCAATTTGGCATTGGTGCTTAAATGCTATGGAGAAGTGTGCTTTAAAAATGCCCAACATAGCTAGAATTAGAGTTCTTTCTGTGTCTTCTCTTGAACCTATATATTCCAGGAATTTCAGAACATAAACCACCATCTGACGCTTTCAACACTACACTTGTGAGTGGTGGGATTTTTCAAGCTGCCAGCCAGCTGAATTCTTAGAAATGTTTTGTTTAAAGAGGAGCTGAAAAACAGAATATCCATTTAAACTATGGGGAGAACATTGGTAGCTGAAAGATGCACACAGAGATGCTACGCTGGGACAGGAAGTTAAGAATTCAGTTATACCTATATGGGGATTTTAGGGAAACAATGAATTCCCTGAGCTGGAATTGCGCTATGACACCCAGGAAGACAGCTGATAAATTTCACAAAGTGCCACTGGCTATTTAAGGACAATGGTTAAGATCTTGGCTTTAGTTCTCTTTTTAAAAGATGGCACCTCCAGCAGGAAAATGACCTCTGTTGCCAAGGCACTGATCAATCCTGATTCAGAGGGAAGAGTGCCATGGATTTGAATTACTGTCATTACTTAAATCACTGTATTCAGCAACTGAATAATTCCATCCAATTCCTGCCTAAACTTGGTTCTGCTTGGCTCATAAGACTTGACGATCCAAAATGCTAATTAAAACCAATGAAAAAAGATACCTCATATCCTCTGTAAATATTTTTCAAATTTTGTCTTAATCTGTGGATTCCAAAGTAAGGCATTGTTGCCTGCAAAATGAATTTTGCTACAGTGTGGTGCGAAAAATTTGAGACTCCAGACCTCTTCTTCACTAAAAGGCCAGTCTAAATTTGTGGTATTCTCAAATTAAAAACAAATAACCCTCCTGAGCTGACTTGTGTACAGAGTTTTATTTTCCAACAGAAAAGTCTGACTCTAGGGAATTAGCTGGTGTGTGTTACTAGAGCACTAACATGTTAAAACAGGCTAAATTCTGAATAATGTTATGAGTTTGGTGGTCTCATGCTAGTATCATTTTTTAATGTCGCACACTGTACTCATTTTGGTAGTCTCTGTTCAAGAGAAGCTCATAATTTGAATATCTGGGGATGTTGCACTTCTCTTGAGATGTGATAGGGCAAAGTGAGGAAAGTTATTGAAAAAGTGAGGGCATGATGCCTTATACCAGTGGTTTTCAACCTGTGGTCCATGGACCCCTGGGGGTCCGCAGACCATGTCTAAGATTTCCAAAGGGATCCATACCTCCATTTGAATATTTTTAGGGGTCCGCAAATGAAAAAAGGTTGACAACTACTGCCTTACACAGAATTACAGGTGAGGCACACACAAATTTAAATTTAAACGTACATAGAAGTAAGTACATGAAAGGTACCTATGACATACAAATAATTTTTTGCTGTCACAGAGCAGTTTGCCAAACACATGCATGAGCTTGCAGTAACAAAGAAGCTCAGTTGTTTCAGTCAAACAAATCAGTCTTCAAGATGTAGAAATAGTGGCAACTGAGTCAGCTACCAGAAGAAGAGGAAAAGGGCTTATGTAAGGTGTAAAGGAAAAGTGTTAGTTTCAGTCCAGAAACCAATTTTACTGAGCACAGTTTAAAATATATAGAGAGCAAGGGAGCCTGAAAAAGGGAATTATAATTGTAATGGTATGCTATATGGATTCTGGCATTGACTGCTATAATATGAAATAGAAATTAAAATGTAGAATTATTGACAGACCTATTTCATGTCTCAACTCAGTTTTGGAGATTATTATTGTGAGAGACCTGTTCATTGCTCTGGATAAACTCTTGTGAGGAATAACAGTTGATCAGATGTAAGCAGAATTGTGATTTAATTTCCATTTAATTGCTGTTATAGAGTCTGACAGAAAAGCTGCTGAAGAAAGAACTTGATTACACCCAGTTAGAAGAAAGACACTCTGAAGAATCAGTGAGTAAAAAAAACATGCAGGCAAGCCTTAACCAAAAGGACTTGGACCTGGAGCACCTTCGAGCAAGGCTATCTGCCACTGAAGCCTCGTTGCAGAGGGTACAGACAGAACTGGGTGAGAAGGGGGAAGCAAGCCACAAACTTAAGGAAGAATTGTCAGAAATAGAGACAAAGTATCAGCATCTCAAGGCAGAGTTTAAACAGCTACAACAGCAGAGAGAGGAAAAAGAACAACATAGCCTTCAACTTCAGAGTGAGCTCAATCAGGTGCGGTTCCTTCAAAAACGTTGTTTTCATTCATATTCTTCTCGGTAGTACACTTTTCTCTATATATTTGTATACCTGTAATATAGAGCTTCTGTGTGTGTCTATAATATCTACATTTAAAATATCTGGGAACTACAGTGCTGTGCGTTTGTGTGTGTGTGTACACATTTGTTTATTGGAGGGGAAAAATGCAAACATGCTGCTAAATGTATATTTCCTGGCTGTTATAAATGAAAAATAGATCTCAGGTGTCATGTTTTGGCACGTTAGAGATGTAAGCAAAGAACACAAAGAAAGACGAGGTAAAGGTAAAAGAGGGAGTACAGAAACTTACTCTGATCAGTACTGTCATATCTGAAACTAGTTATAGGGCCAGACACTCAGTTGGAGCAAGTTGGTGTAGGGTTGTGCTCACTTACACCTGGTGAGGGTCTGGTCCATAATTCATATTATTTTAGTTTTGTATCTCTAAGAATACTATGCTGTCTGTTTAAAATAATTAAATTTCTGCTCCGTGTGAAAGGAACCTTTAATTCCTGTAACCTTGTAAATAGCTCTTTATAAGTGGCTTTCCATTTTTTAAGAATAATACTCATAGTAATCTAAATTAGACTTAGATGTTATTTCTTGTTTTCAGAAGGCTTGTTTGCATTGTGTCTTAATCCACATCAGCTGGAGTGTAAATTCTAATGCATGCTGCTGGGTCAGGAACTAACTGGCCCATGTGGACCCTGTTGGCGCACACGAAAAGTTCCCTAGTGCATGTTAATATAGTCCAGTTTCAAATAGCACTACATTAACATCCACTAAAGAACATTTAGTGTGCACCTGCAGGGTCAACCCAGGTCAGTTAGTGTGCAACATGCTGGTGCAGGTTAGAATTTACAGCCCAGCCGATGCAGACTAAGGCACTGACTGGACAAGCCCTGAGAGTCAGAGAAATCAATAATTTTCAAATTCATCATGCCCTTACCCATGAATAGGGATCTTGAGGCATATCTGTGATATTCCTTTCCTGTTGGGAGTTCTTAGTTAACTGACCAATGCACTATGTTTGGTCGTGTGTGTTGTCTGTTCCCCCCGCCGCCCCCCATTTTTTTGTTGTTCTGATCACATTCTTTTCCTGACTCTAGGTGTGGAGTATTGGCAAATGAAAATGCTACTTTGATTGTTGAGTTTTCTTGCCAGGTATGAAAGTGATCAAGCCTTCCTCATGTGTCTAAAAGTTTGCAAGGCTGTAAATAACAAGGATCAAGTAATATTGTTTCTGCTGGCTCAGGGTAGAGTAAGTTTTAATGGGATGAAGTAGTACAAAAGAAAGTTTTGGTTGAATATGTGGAAAGTTTCCTAGTTGTAAAGCGTGTTAGACTGTAGGATAGTATAGAAGAAGTAGTGGAAACCCCATCATTTGATTCCTTTAAAAATGTACTAAGCAGTGAGTGTGATATAGAGAAGAACTCTGCGTGGCCCGAGGAACAACATAAAGTCCTAATAGTTTTTTTCAGTTTCTAATGTCTGATTCTGTGTTTTGAGCCTTTATACTGGAATGCATATAGTGAACAGTCCCATAGTCCTTTTACATGCTAAATCCTACGGAGTATAATGAGAGTTACTTTCATAGAGCTGTGGGATTGACCCACTATTATTCAATGTTAGATAAAAGTTGACTTTGAGGTGTAGTTTTGTTTGATCTTTACTTTGTTGGGTGCCTCTGTGTGTGTAGTATGTGAGATCAGAGAGATATTTGTGTTTCAAGAATCATGCTCAATCCTTGAATAAGGAATCTGTGGCTCATTCCAGCTTGGTTTACTTTACTTTTAGGCCTGTGCTTTTACAGCTTTTCCTTTTTCATAAAGTAATTTAAATAAGTATGTTGGCTTGATGCCCACCCACAAGCCTGTAATAAATTACATCTTAACCTATGCATGCATACTTTCTACTGGAATCTCCTGTGGTTTGGCAAGAATCCAAGTTTAATAAAAAAAAAAAAATGCTGATGCTTGGAGATGTGATGAAGTTTGAAGTTTCATCCATATGCTCAGGAATCCTGATGGGTGACATTGCAGCCATCTTTCCAGACCCCAAAGAATGCAAGTTCCAAAAGCACAAGCAACTGGCAGAGTTCAGGTGGAAACTGGTTTCAGATGAAGAGGGTGTGCTCCAACTCAGTAGGGCTTGTGAAAGGATTTTTGGTTTGCCTAATAAATTTCTAGGAAAGGAGGTGTAGATGACACAAATCCCCCAGTGATACCATCAAAAGGGAATTCAGTCCAGCCAAGAAAACCTGCCTGAAGGGGGATCACTGGAGTTCCCAAGATTGTCTGTGTAGATCAGTAGGCCGCAAACTGCAGTGCACACTCCTGTAGGGGGGCATGGAAGAAGGTTTGGGGGTGGATGTGTGGCGGAGAGGAAGCACCACCCAGCCCTGCTCTGCCCCCAGCTCCCTTCCTGGCTCCGACCCTAACCTTGGCCACAGCTCTGGCACCAGCCCCAACTGCGGCCCTGCTCCTGGCCGCGGCCCCTGGCTCCTGACCCCTGGCTCTGGCCCCACTCCTGGCTATGGCCCCGCTCCTGACTGCAGTTCTGCTCCTGGCCCCAAGCATGGTTCCTGGCCACGGCCCTGCTCCCAGCCCCCCTCTGGCTCCTGACCATGGCTTCGGGGGAGCAGGGGTGGGTGCGTACCAGTTAAGTGTGGGAGGGCATCAGCAAAAAGGTTTGGAACCACTGATTTGAACATGGTACAGGGAGGACTTCAGGGTGGATTGAGAGATTCTGAGTCTATTCATGATACAGTAACTGGTTACTCATAAAAAGAGAGACTTGTCTTAGTTTTTCCAGTTTCTTCTATAGTAGCTTTGTACAGTTCCCATGTATTTCATATTGTTGTTCACTTAGCAGTCTTAGCTCATAGTTTTGAATATTGAAAATAGGTTGAAAGCTATCTTTTTATTTCCCTCTTACCTGTGATTGGAGATTATCATTGCAAGGGTGTAGCCTACTAGGGTATGGCTACACTGCAATTAACCATCTGGAGCTGGCTTGTGCCAGCTGACTCGGGCTCGCAGGGCTCAGGCTAACAGGCTGTTTAATTGTGGTGTAGATGTTCGGGCTCAGGCAGCAGGCTGAGCTCTGGGACCCTACCACTTCGCGGGGTCCTAGAGCTGGAGCTCCAGCCCAAGCCCGAACACCTGCACTGCAATTAAACAGATACCAGTTAAGATTCAAAGTCACAGAATACTTTTTTTCAAGTGTGAGATTTTACCTCAGATGAAGCTTAGGTTGTTGGTGTGTTGAAAGCTTTAATATCCTATCTGGTCTGAAAGTCAGCAGTGTTTCTTTTAATTTAAAATGAAATTTAAAAAATGAGAAGTAGTATTTTAAATATTGAATTTTTGAAAGGTATCTTTAGGTGTATGCAATGTAATCATTTTTATACATGGAATATAGCACACATAGTTCATTAGGATTAATCATTTCTTTGGGGCGGAAGGAAGGTTTGTGGGTGATCTGTTTATGGCAGTGGTGGGCAACTGTGGCCCATCAGGGTAATTTGATTGCAGGCAGCGAGACATTCTGCTGATGTTGACCGTCCGCAGGCACGGCCCCCCGCAGCTCCTAGTGGCCACGGTTCGCCATTCACTGCCGCTTCCCACAGCTCCCATTGGCCGGGAATGGCGAACTGCGGCCACTGGGAGCTGTGCCTGCAGATGGTCAAAGTCACCAAAATGTCTCATGGTCCGCAATCAGATTATCCCATTGGGCCCCAGGTTGCCCACCACTGGTTTAGGGCTTTAGTTCCATTGTTCCTAACATGTTGTTATGTGATATTGTTCATGATGACATAATGAATTGGCATTTGCTGTATGGCTAAACATGGTTTATATGGTAACCCACCTCACTCATTAGTGGAGGAAGCCCATGTGCCCTCTTATCAAAATTGTCTCAAACAGTTGTCGGCCCAGATCCTGGAGAATTCCATGTGCTTCTGCAAGGTACTGGACACCCCCAACTGACATTCTAGCCAGCAGTTGGAGATCTCAGAACATTAGAAGGTTGTCCCTTAGTTTTCAGCAGGAAATGCTCATCACTCGCAGACTTGCTGTCTTAAGTAATGTTAACACTTCTGATACAGTAGTTTTAAAAAGTATGGTTTCTCTATTTTGTTTCCATTTTGCTTGATAATGACTGGAAAAGGACTCTGACAGTGCAGTTGATGGTTTCACTTGTTTATGGAGAACCCAAAAAAATGTGCATTACAGAGAATATAAAAACATAACTTGGTCCTGGCCCTGATCTTGTAATGTCTTGGGTGGACCCGTGTGATTGCATGCAGCTCATTGCAGGATCAGGACTTAATTTTTTATGTGATGTGATGAGAGAGAGTAACAAACAGTTGAGAGATGGGGGGAGAAAAAAAAAGGGTTTCAATAAAGAGATGATCCAGTTTCTCAGTTTTTGATATGTGCACATCTCTGTGGATTGGTTAAGTGTATGTCTGTACAATATACTTTTATGAGGTGACATGGCAGAAGTGGATTTCACTGAGTTATTTGAAAGAGGAGAGGCTGATGGTTTGGTTAGGCAAAGAGGGATTAGAGCAATGTTCCATACACGGATGTTTGCGTGTGGAAGGCTCTGAGACAGTAATTGAGGGGTGCGGAGTGGTGGGATGCAGCGGGAGAGGAGAGAAGAAAAATATACCCTCTCTTTTCCTAAGAAGTGGTAGCTGCTAATAAATATTGTGTTTATCATGAAACTTTGAACATGTTCGCCTGCTTATTTGTCTTACCTTTTTAACTCCAGAGATATTTTTTCTTTATAAGTAAAATCAGTAACAACTATATTCTACTCGCTATGGTAATGTCTTGGGTTATACAGCCCTGTTAGCTTAAAGTTCATCACGTGTCCACATGACGCCACACCATTCTCCACAGAAGTCAATGATTTAAGAGCTCTTGGCCATGTACTCTGCCTCTTGCTTCTATAGATTAATTTTTTGT